CCTGGCCCATAGTAAGCAATCACTGAATACTAATTATCATAACTACTGTCAAATCTTTTTTGACATCTAAAGTTTAGGAATGAGCAGAGGTAGAGCCACAGAATAATATTGGGCACAAAGGCCTTGTGAAACCTTGCATAATAGTCCTGATAAATAGCTGTGGTTACATTTATTACTGAGTTGCCAAACATCAAAGAGTTGCTAATTGTTAATAAAGAGAGGGTGACATAGTGAGTCGTATTTCTATACCAATACTTCGCAAAGTCTGTGCTTAGGGGTATGCAATAGTAATATGTATTTTTTAAAAAAAGTATGTTCTATACTCAAATATATTTGGGAAAGGCTGAATTAAACAGAATTAAATAGGTGTTTCTTTAAAAACATATGGTAATATAAGGCACACAGCTTGCGAAGAGGGGGATACAGAGAGCATCATTTCCCAAATACTTTTAAGTTGTTTTAGCAATTGTTCTGCTAAATATATGAGTAGAACACAACTTCTCAATGTTAGTCAAGGAAGAATCTCTTCTTAAAAATATATAGCAATGAATCCACTTCCACAAATTCTGACAGAAAGTCTAGAATAGGGTTAAGAAATTGCTATTTTTAAAAAGCTCCCTTGTGTCACCTTGCCACCAGGCAACCCGAAAGAGAAATTTGACCTCTCCCATTATCCCTCTCTCTTTCTTTCCAACCTGTTCTGAGAAAAATAGCTCCAACAAAGAAAGGTAAGGGGAAAAAAGGGAGGGGGGGCACTAGGGGAAGTTATTCTGTCACCAAGGACATGACTAGAAAATAGAATGTCAACATTCATTAATGTTTTTCCACTGAGTTGGCTTCAAGAAGCATGGATCCCAGGAACTCAGAGAAATCTAGAATTTGCTGTTAAAAAGATGAGAAGTCTAGGGCCGGCTGAGTGGCGCAATGGTTAAGAACTGGCTTGGGATGCCAGAGAGCCCCGGTTCAGATCCCACATATGAGGGCCAGTGACACTGCCCTCTACAGCTAAGATGATGAACAGCAGCTCAACCTGGAGCTGGGCTGCCAGTGAGTCGCCCGCGATGGCATAGGCTGCAGTCCCCTGCTGCAGAGGGTTGCCATGAGCTACCGTGTGTAGCCAGCAGCCAGCATGAGCGGCCAGCAGCCACAGTGAGTGGCCATCCAGAAGCCAGCTACTGATCTGCCTCACCCGGGAAGAGCGCAATGATGGTGCCAACTTGGGCCAGTGAAGCAACGTCCTCCACAACTAGACTGAAGAACAAAATGACAGCAACTTGTTTGTTCCCTTTACCCCAATTCCCCAATAAAAACCTTTAAAAAAAAAGTCTCAACATAATTATTTACACTGGTTCAAGAAAACTGTATGGACTCAAGAGACAAGAAATATTCAATAATGTATCTGGGTAGTTAACCCAGAAAAGTTAAAGGAGGATAAACATTTATCCTCCAACAAGCACAGCATGACAGTTACGTATGTACCTGTTATGCTTTCAAAACCCTTCAGACAGTCAACATGGGTGAAAGCTAATGATCTGATTACCATAAAAAAATATAATTTGGGAAAGTAGTTGTAGGCTGTACACATAAAGAAATTTGAACTACCACCCTATGGAATTAGTGGTTATCTGACAGATTTCCAAAAATTCCCAACAGAACTTTGAGGCAAAGTAAGATGAGAATTTTTTAAAAGCTTATGTAGAACTTATCTAACACAATGGGAATACTTGTGCTCTGTGTGCCTGTTTAAAATGTAATCTAAGAACAGGCTCCTTAATTAGGAATTACTTGGAGAACTATAAGGTCTGATAATATACTAATCTATGATATGTACTGTTAAAACTGAACTAGGAAAGATTGTCTTAGAACCATTTTGGACATAAGACGTGTGTGTGTGTGTGTGTGTGTGTGTGTGTGTGTGTGTGTGTGTGTACATGGACACTCTGTCTAGGAAGAATTCAACAGAGTGAATGGTTTAACATATTTCTACTTTTACAGCCTGCTTTAAAATTTTTATGGTAAAAATAAAAGGAGATAAAAGCATGACATCACTTTCAGGAATCTCTCTACACACTCAAGCAATTATTCATTTTATATGTCTGGCAGGAGGGGTTTTGACTGAAGTCAATCCCTGCCTTTTCTATCACCCCTGGTGTAGAGGGGGTGGGAGTGAAGATAAATTAGTCTACCCATGCTGCACTCTTCCAGATGAAAAAAGACCAAAGAGATGTGACAACTAACCGCAACACATAATCCTAGCTTAGCTCCCATCAAGAATGTTATTGGGACAATTGATTGAACTTGAATGGAGATAGTGACTTCAATGTTAGTAAGTGTCAATGATAATTTCCTGACTTTGGTCCTTAAATTGTGGTTATCTAGAGAATGTCCTTGTTTGAAGGGTTATATACTAAAAACTCTTCAGAGATGCTGGGCAACATGTTCAAAACTTACTCTCAAATGATTCCAGGAAAAAAAATATGTTCTTTGTACTATTCTTGCAGCTTTTTTGGATTTTGAAATTACTTTAAAATTAACATTATCGTTAGCATTTAAAGAAATACATTCATTGTATTGCTTATGTTAGTTTAGTGTTAATTTTCTCAGGTTCTCTAAGTAAACAATCATATCATCTGAAAATAGTTTTACTTCATCTTTTCCAGTTCCTATGCCTCTTATTGTTTTCTGTTTTCAATGATACTGGCTAATACCTCTAGAATAACATTTACTAGTAGAAGACATAGTGAGCATTCTTGACTCTTTCCTAATCTTATTAGAAATTCCTCTAGTATTTTCCAATTAAGCACAAAGCTGTCTTTGGGACCAAGGTATTCTGTTTAGAAAACATGTATTAATTCTTATTTTCTTGAGTGTTTTTATCAGGACACTTTTATCACAAGCTTTCTTTTTCTTTCTTTTTTGCATTCAGGGGACAGTCATATGATTATTCTTCTTACATCTACTAATACGGTGTTTATATTAGTAGATTTCCTAGTACTGAATCATCCTTGCATTCCAGAAATGAATCCCGTTTGGTCATGGTGTATTTTCTTAATATGATGTTAGGTCCTGTCTTTTAATATTTATCTAGTATTTTTGCATTGATATTGAATGACTTCTTGTAATATGTTAACATTTTAGAACCACATTCCTCTATACTGTTTTTAGAAGAATAACCTCCGTGAAAGGAGCATGGTGATAACAGAAAGGACGTGGGAAGCGGTCTAATGGCGAGATGGAGAGACCAGACTTTAGAGTCACACAGACCTTGCTGGCCCCCTCCCCAACTGACTGGGTGATCTGGGTGAAGTTATTCCTCCTCTTCTACCTCTATTTTATCACCTGTCAGATAGGAGAATCTACCACAACATATCGTATAAGAATTAAATGATAAGATTTCTGTAAAGACTTCAGAACAATGTCTGGCACCATGTAAGCCCACATAAACATTGGGATATTTTATTATAAAGAAGTATTTTCTTCTGCTGTTTCTCACATTATAAAAAAAGTGTTAGGGTATATGTGAACAGATGTAGTTTCCTCAGTAAGTACTTCCTCTCTGTTTAAATGGTCCCCAGCATTTTGCTATGATTGCTGAGCACAGAGGAGAATAAGCAGACCTATTTAGTGAGCCAGGTTTGTATTTTGTCTCTTCTTTTACAGTTACCCCATTTTAGACTAGAGGGTAGTCTAAAGGAAAAGGTGCCAAGGAAAGAGGAGGGGGGACTTTGAAAGAAATGGAAAAGGAGGATAAAATTCCTTGAACCCCTATGACATGCCAGGAACTAATTTAGGTATGTCTGCAGTTAATAGATGAGGAAAGCTTCAAGATAATATCAAGACCTGAAAACCAGAGAACCATCTTGAGAGGGGTTATGGGGATGAGCATTGTCTCTCTATCTAAGAGTTGAGCTTAGATTTGTTCTTTTATCCTCACCCATAACTTCTTCAAATAGAGGAAAATGAAGAGATGAGTTGTCTCTGAGTTGAGCTCTAGGCTATTTTAGCTCTTAGCATTCTGAACTTTGAAAAATCACTCTATACAGGGCAGTAGTCATGTTTCTAGGGCTCTTGAGTGTGGAGGACATAATGAGAGTGCTGATTTATTGGTGCATTTATTCTATAACTCTCTATTTTGATACATTTATTCTATAACTCTTATTAGGACTGCAGAGATGAAAATGCCATTTACCACTGCAAGACTGGTAGACACACAGTGCTGGAATGAGGGCCAAAAGAGATTGGCCTAAAGGTGTTGGCATTTGCGCTGAACCTAAAAAAGTTGGAACGAAATAGAAAAGCAAAACTTGTCGGAGACATGCACATACTTGTGCATGTATTAAGAAGCAGGCTCCAGAATGACACAGACCTAGGTCTACATTTTGCCTGTCTCTTTCTTGCTCTTGACCTTGGACAACTTCTTTATGTTTTTCTGAGCTTTATTTGCATTGTCTGTAAAATGAGGGAAAAGTATCTAATATATATGGGTTTATGGTGAAGATTGTAAGATTATAAGAGAAAATGTAGGTAAAACACGTAGCACAGTGCTTGGGATGTGAATCCTCAGAGGTAATCGCCATTATTATTATTATTGTCTGGTCTTTGGTGGTGTTCTTCAGTTCTTGCCTCTGTCGATAATCTTTACCTCAGACCTCAAGCTACTTTATTAAAACAGATTACTGAGATACAATTTTCATACCATACAATTTATCCATTTAAAGCATAAAGCTTATTTGCTGGCATCTGTTTTTTAAATCTGTGATTATTCTATTCAAAAGTGTGCTTTCGTTGGTGATGGTTGGCGGTAATGGTGTATAAGTTTTGCCATTCTAAAGGATAGTCAGCAGTGGGATTATAGGATGATCCAGGATGTCTGTTTTTCAAATTCAACAACAGTTAGTATTCCCCAGATGTTAGCTCTGTTGACCTTCAGTTGTCAGAGGACACCTCAACTTTCAGCTTCCCAGTCATGCATGGCACTTCTCTTTTCTTGCTATGTACAGGGTGGCATCGATCCCAGTTTTGCTTTGAGATTCAGCAGAAGATCCTGATGGAAGAGGATGATACCCAGAGAGAAAAGCCCCAGGAGGATGGAGTTGATGACGTGCAACTCTTAGGTGAGAACTATGGGTGGGCACTTCATTCTCAGAGATTTTCAGTAAATACTTGTGAGTACTTACTCTCTTCTATAAATATGGAATGACTGAGCACTGTTCAGCATAAACCCATGAGTCCAACAAGCAGTAGGAAGATAGCCTAAGGCTGGTAATCCTTGCCTAGATATTTGGTCATGTGCTTATTTACCTCACTGAAGGCATGTTGAGGTTTTGTTTAGTCCAGATGCTAAATGACAGGCAGGCCAAAGCATCTGGCATGGCAAGATCTTTTCCAGTGACTCATCAGTCATTCAAAAATCAAAGCCCACACAAAAAGGGGTGGATGGGACACATAGAGAAATGCATCACATTTTTAGGCTCTCTAGAAGAACAGCTGATTCAAGGAGTGGCAGGAGATATGAGGCTACAACCCAAGTACACCCAGTTCACAGAGTTGTGGTGCTGGTTGAACCTTTGCAATGTGTTCCCCAGCATTCAAAACAGAATACATGGACTCATAAAATGTCTATTTTCCTCATTATTTTTTATTATGACTCAGATGGTCATGTAACCGGAATAGAGGTGCACTCAGGGATATGCTGGGGACCTGGTATCAATTAACCTCATTAGTATTTCCTTGAAACCAGCTGCTGATCTCTGCATAGCAAAGTCCTCTTTCTTAAGGAAGAGTGACTTTAACCTAGATCTTGTTTTTTATTTACTGATGGCATTAAGTTTCTATACACAGAAGTTGAAATATAAAATTTCTATATTGGTATTAATGAAAGTTCTCCAGAGAAACAGAATCAAGAACATATATATCTAAGTATAAGAGAGAGATGTATTCTAAGGAATTGTCTTATGTGGTTGTGGGGGTGGGAAAGCCTGAAATGTGTAGGGCAGGCTTCAGGCTGGAAATCCAGGTATGAGTTGATGCTGCAATCTTGAATCTGGATTCTATGGAGCAACAGGATTGAAATTCAGGCAGCATTTCTATGTTGCAGTCTAGAGGAGAATTCCTTCTTCTCTGAGAAACCTCATTCTCTGCTCTTAATGTCCAAACTATTGGATAAGGACCACTCATATGATGAAGGGTAATTTGCTTTACTCAAAATCTACTGATTAAATGTTAATCACATCTAAAACATATCTTCACAGAAACATCTAGACTGGTGTTTAACCAAAAAACTGGGCACCATAGCCTAGCCAAACTGACACAAAATTAACCACCAGAGCCCTCTTACCATAGGGAGTTTATGTCTTGAGCAGAGATGGGAGATAAAACAGAAAAATTTGCAGTCCAATAATATGAAATATGTTGGCACCTTACGGAGACTGGGGATGGAGTTGGGAAAAGCTTTCTGGAGAGCATGATTCCTGAACTGACTCCAGTTGTTAAGGGAAGACATGAATGAACATGAAACTTCCCATCCTTGCAGCAAGAAGCAGGAAAGAATGGTAAGCCACTCAGTGGAAACATAACCTAGAGAAACCAAATGACTTATTTTTTTTCTTTTATTTGTTTAATGCTGAACTGAGAATTCTTGATTTATTTTATCCTAAAGACTTGGAGGGGTTGCTAAAGAATTCTTAAGATTGAAGTGATGAGATTAGATTTTCAGTATTCAAGGCCAATTCATATAATTATTCAACAAATATTTTATAGTGTCTGTCATGTATGAAGTATGGTGGGAGGCATTGATGATATAATGATGAACAACATAAGAGCTCACTGACCTTACAAAGCTTAGAATTAAAGAAAAAGACTAAACAATTATAAATTTTAATACTGCTATTGACAACAGATTTAGAAGCTTTATAATCCCAGTGACTGCCTAATGCTGTCCTGCCCAGCCCTCACATTCCCTGTCACAGGTGCCAGCTTCAAACACGGAGTGATCTCATACACTGCCCTTATATCCCATCCTCTCTCTGATGAAATACACAGGGTCTTGGACTTGATATTTCCTGATGCTCCAAAGTGTGGATCTTAGCTTTCCCTTTAGGCACTTCCATCTTCCATTGCTTTGGCTGAGCCTTGCCTACCACACATCCAGTGACCCTCCGGCCCCAGCCCTAGTGAAACTTCATTTCCCCCTGACCCCTGGGCTTGTTCCTGGCCCTTTCTAGAAGTGAGAGTTTAGAATATGAGGCAATAGATAAAAACAAAGAGGTTGGAGAGAAGAGTAGTATTGTCAGAGGTAAAAATGATATGATTTGGCAATGGATTGGTAATAGGGGTTGAGAAAAAATAAGACAATGCAAACATTTTCTAAATTAGGGGGTTAGATGACTAAACATAAGGGGATGACTTTTAGCTATCTCATATAACAAAGAAGAAGGGTTAAGGGATGTCATTGGGGGAAGGTGACAATGATTTAAACCTTTTGGTCTGCTGTGCCCAGGAGACATCCCTGTGAAGGTGCACAATATATAATAACCACCTTCCCCCATGTGTACCCCTCAACCCTCCTTTCCTATACTGAGGATTGTGGCAGTGGAATGAAAATCAAAAGATTGATATATCCAATAGGTTCAACGCATATTCAACTATTTACAGTCACAGAGAATAAAATGCTAACATAAAACGCATTTAACATAAAATGCTAACAGGCCATGAGAGAAAAAACTTTCTTTTAAGGACTAATTACCAATGAATTATTCATCAGGAGTAATGTTGCCCTTCACCTATGTGGATTCTTCAAAACTGCCAGTGTAAGGAATTTTCCACCTGGATGGTCACTGTGGTTAACTTCAGGAGCCAGATAGAATGAGGGACAAAACTACTTGCGCATTACCTACCAATGCTCAACAGACTAGAGGAATGCAAAGCATTGAGGTGATTTCCCCTCACCAGCACTCTAGTTGTTGAGAGTCCTCAGACCTTATGTAGGCTTTTTTGGAGAGGAATCAGAGGGAGAGCCACAGAAAGCTCTGCCAGCGGGCATGGGGGAGGGAGAGGGAAGCACACCCTTTAACCATATCCATGTTTGCCTTCTTGACTAGCAAATTTATTCAATATATATAACTTACCTCTTGTGCATTGTTGGGTTGCTAAGCCTTTTGTAATGTTAATTTTAATATTGACATTAAAGGTACAGTATATCCATCTACCCATGTTAAAATTCTGAAAGTTCTTATGTCAAGCTTATAAATATAATGCTAATACCTTGAAGTGACTTCTTGAAATGAACAAGAGAAGGACCTTTTACATAGACTTTCTTTTAATTCCTGTTGGAGAAACATGGTAAATGAATTTCGATCCTCTTTAGGCATATTATAACTCACAGAAACTCTCCTGGTTCCTGAGAATAGCCAGGAATTCAAATGAGTCTAAAAGAACTGTACTAGTCATAAACATCACTACCTGTATCTCAGAAATAAATGCTTCAAACCACCATTTAGAACTTCCTGAGCACTGACACTAAATCTCTAGTCAGAGCTGGGTGCTATATAATAATGTTTTTACTAGCTCTCTTAACAACTCCCCTGAGAGAAATAATGCAATTATTTCCATAATGTGAAACATTAACAAAGGTCAAGCAAGTGGCCCCAAGCCTCTGGTGACACAGTCAGTTCATTAGAATTTTAAGTCACTGAATCACCAGTCCAACACTTGAGCCAACAGCGAAAAGTTACCTGTTTCATACTTATTTCTGTAAGAATGTTAGGATCTATGAGTATGGAGTCATCATAAGATGAAACAAAGGATGGCAGTCAAGAGCAGGCAGAGAGATTCGGTATCTTAGCTGGGCTCTTATGAATATTCAATTGAGTGTCCTTAACTTCTACTGATACCTCTGTTAAACATACCGTATTTGCCGGCGTATAAGACGATTTTTTGGCCCTGAAAAATATGCCTCCAAGTGGGGGGTCGTCTTATACGCCAGGTACACTTCAGATAGACTGCCCATAGTGCTTGCCCCATGCCATAGTGGCCTCCCGATGCCCGCCCACTTCATTCCACATACCGTTCAGGCATCAGCAGCGCTGCTGGGTGTATGCTCGGCTGTTATGCGATTTTGCTGTTATGCGATTTTACCACACTCGCAAAATCGCACACAGCCGACCATACACCCAGTATGATAGCGCAAAATCGCGAATCGCGATTTATGTATATGTTTGATTACATACAGCCTTGTGACAGTTTTCCTGCATGTCATAAGCATTTGAATATAAATATAAATGTTGAAATCAAATCTGATATTGTTTTACCTTTTATTTGGTGTGTGGAAGGTGTGCGGAAGAGGGGGTTGTCTTATACGGCGAGTATATAACAAACTCTGTATTTTGAGTGGAAATGTTAGGGGGTCGTCTTATACGCCCAGTCGTCTTATATGCCGGCAAATACGGTATGAAGAAACAGAATCCGTGCCGATTTATTGGGGTATTTAAAATCTCTGGTGGGAGCTCATCTTTCTCTTTCATCCTAGCCCTATGGAATCAGTTCCTATTTCCTACGCAGCCACTGGCTCTTCCTGTATTTGTCAGGCAAGGAGGAACCAGAGCAGTTTAGAGCAAGGAAATGACATAATTGAAACGATATTAGACATGAAATCTAAAATGCAAAGCCCCATCTCTCCCCTCCTCCCAAACCTGGCCTGACTGCCTGGATCTTGTCTCCCATGCCTCCCTCCATGCACTGTGGGCTTAGGCGGGCTGCATCAGTCACCACTTCTCTAACCTGCCCGGGTTTTACTGTACCCCTACCTTATTCATGTTATCTCCTCTGCCTTGACAGTCCTGGCTTTCAATATGAAGGTCACATACATTTTCCTGATAGACTCATTGGGCAGAAATACATTTTTTACAATGTGTTTTCTATTACATTATCACATTCCAGTTATATGCTAAAGAGTAAATTCCTCATATAAAAACACATAAAAATGTCTTATTTTAGCTCCACCTCTCACACATTTAAGCACACTGTGTGGAACAGGGTAGATGTTTATTACCTTTGTGTTTCACAATCTTCATGTTCTGAATTCTGGACCCCACTCTGAGTTGTCAGAAGTCTCTAG